ATGCTTCGGATGCAGGAGTTCCTAGGTCCCATCGCCAGGACCTCCGTCGAAAGAAAGAAGCTACGTGCGAACCTAAGGTACCTCAGGACTCTAGGTCCAGATACCACCTGCAGTACTGCTTGCTTCCCTTTTGCCCACTGCCTTCCCACACGTCCCAAACACGACCAGGTTTTCCCTCGAGAAAATTCTTCAGTCCTCTGAAGTTCCTTTGGGCCACGTTAGTTTACGGAAAGATTCTTGAATGGGGTTAGACTTCCCGGGTGTGGGTAGAATTCAAAGTGGTCAGTGTTGTCGCTAACATGTGTGTGCCTGCACCCTCTAGGTGACACATCGGGACAAGAGGAAGACGCGGAGTCCCCTGACGAGGAGGTACCGTCTCCTTTTGCTGTTTTTCTTCTTCTTTTACTCCCTAACCGTCGAGGGTCATTAATACGTAAGCGGATGGACGCGTCACCCCTGCGTCCAGCCGTTTGCATTTTCCCGTCACCATTCTTGCTTAATATTTTCTAATCCACAACTGCTGAAGTCGTTCTGGGCTTTCGGTCCCGCGAGCGCACAGTCTTGTGTGAGTTTTCCATGCTCGCCTACGGAAAGCGGTGTCCGTATCTGAATTCTTTGCCTCCAGTGCTTTTCCCCGGTAGGTTAGGCCAAGGGACTGAATGTAGGCGGTTCCCTGTGCGAGTTCGGTGAGGTTTAAGATGTCTCCCGTTTTGTCTTGTGTTTTCGGCACTCCTCCTTTTGGATGAGTCGACTGTTGTCTCTCACCGAAGCTTGCCAGTGGGGCCTTCCCGTTCCCTTCCCACTCGGTGTGTTCAGGATTTCCGTGTGACTTGTCATGCCGTTTCCCACCTCGTCCTGCGGCTCAAGCTGCCCTTCCTGGAATCCCTCACACTGCCCCCTCTGCGCTCGGCCTGTCTTTGAAGACACGGCCTGGACTTCCCAGCATTCCCCGAGCCAGGACCCGCCCCATGCTCTTCTCTCCTTCGTGTCGTGCCTGTCCGTTCCCTTCAGCTGTAGAGCTGCTGAGTGGTCCTTTTGTGTGCTGATTGCTGTTCACGGGTCCCTGCCTCTGGTAACAGTACGGGGCAGGATCTGTCCTTCGTGTGTATTCCCAGCTTTTGCCAGGATAATGCCTGTGACTTGATAGACACTGTGGATAGCTCCTGCCTCACTGACTGATAGACTGAACGGCCCCGTGCATGAGTAGGATGGTTCCTCAAGGTGGGTTTTTGGGTTCTTCCGTTTTGTTGTTACAGGAAGGGGTGCCCGAGCCAGAAACCGAACGGGAAGACTCCCGCCCTGAGACGAACGTCGCTGATGAAGGGGCTCCGCAGGAGACAACCGAGGACGAGACATTGACGTCTGTGCTCGCAGCAGACCAGCCTGACATGTCCGGTAAGTCGGCGAACATCCCTGGAGGTTGATTTTTCTTCCGTCTGTGCTTAAACGCCACAGTGGGGACAGGGAAGGGGGTAGCTGGTGGGTAGATGGATGGCATGCTTCGGACGCAGGAGTTCCTGGGCTCCATCGCCAGGACCTCCGTCGAAAGAAAGAAGCTACGTGCGAACCTAAGGTACCTCAGGACTCTAGGTCCAGATACCACCTGCAGTACTGCTTGCTTCCCTTTTGCCCACTGCCTTCCCACACGTCCCAAACACGACCAGGTTTTCCCTCGAGAAAATTCTTCAGTCCTCTGAAGTTCCTTTGGGCCACGTTAGTTTACGGAAAGATTCTTGAATGGGGTTAGACTTCACGGGTGTGGGTAGAAAGAATTCAAAGTGGTCGAAGTGGTTGTGGCTAACATGTGTGTGCCTGCACCCTCTAGGTGACACATCGGGACAAGAGACAAGAGGAAGACGCGGAGGCCCCTGACGAGGAGGTACCGTCTCCCTTTGCTGTTTCTCGTCTCCTTTTACCACCTAGCCGTCGAGGGTGGTTAATACGTAAGCGGATGGACGCGTCGCCCCCGCGTCCTGACGGTTTGCACTTTCCCGTCACCACTCTTGCCTGATATCTTCTAATCCACAACTGCTAAAGTCGTTCTGGGCTTTCGGTCCCGCGAGCGCACGGCACACTTGTGTGAGTTTTCCACGCTCGCCTACGGGAAGCGGTGTCCGTGTCTGAATTCCTTGCCTCCAGTGCTTTTCCCCGGTAGGTTAGGCCAAGTGACTGAGTGTACGCGGTTCCCTGGGCGAGCTCGGTGAGGTTTAAGATGTCTCCCGTTTTGTCTTGTGTCTTCGGCACTCCTCGTCTTGGATGAGTCGACTGTTGTCCCTTACCGAATCTTG